GATGATATGATAATGATGTTGGTGGTGATGATGGTGATGATGATGATGATGGTGATGATGATGATGTTTACAATGTTGATGATGACGCTGATGATAGTAGTTACGGATATGATAAAGATGACGAAGACGATGATAATGGCGGGTATAAAAATTTTCCAACTTGGATAGCGGTTGTGTGAAGCCAAAGACTCCAGATTTTTGTTTCTCGGGCTTCTTAATCATGATTGAAATCCCCAAATCCATGAAAGGTTTGCTGAAATCTATGACTCTCTCCCGTAGTGACGATATAGTTAGAGGGGCGATTGCTATGTCCGCTTTCTGTGTTGTTCGTCATGTTGGATGAAATAGTGATTGGAGGAATGATCAACTGGCCAATCAATCAACCAATCAACCAACCAATTAACCGACCAATCAATCAATTAATCAACTACCAATCAGCCAATCAACCAACCAATTAATCAACCAATCAGCCAACCAACCAATTAGCCAATCAGCCAACTAATCAATCAACTAATCAGCCAATCAATCAGCCAACCAATCAATCAACCAAACAACTAACTCCACTTGTCAATTCTCCGACCATACCGTTCCACTCTCCACTGTCGGTTTTGGCGCCGAACTTGTCGTCTGCCACCAGCTGCATCTTGAATTGTATGTTCAATTCCTCACCTTTAATGATCACCATCATCATTATTATTATTATTACTACTAGATTTTTACTTAATATTTTAAATTATCATTAATTAATTTTATTTGGTAAGACCCTTTTCATAGAAGGTTAATTAATTCTGAAGTATCGTCATCTTACGCAATTTTCAGTGATAGGAACCACAATTTGAACGTAATTTAATGCTGATTCTATTTCTCTTTGTGACCATTTAAAATGCACGGCGAACATTGTAGAATATTTATAATATATAATTTACATTATAAGTTTTATTACTTTAACTTCATAATTACAATGCATGTTCTAAAATGAAAATAAAAGATTTGTTTTCATTATTATGATAATTATTACAATAATTATCAATATTCATACAATAATTATAATAATTATTATGATAATTATTATGATAATTATTACAATAGTTATAATAATTATGATCACTAACTGATAGCCTTGGCTAGGTCAACACAGTAGCCCTCAAACATTTCATTGTTATTGTTGTTATTATTATTATTGTTGTTGTTGTTGTTATTATTATTATTGCTACTACTACTACCATCTCCGCTACTGCTTTCGTTGGAGTACTTCTTCCTCATCGTGTAGGGATCTGACTGATGGTGATGATGATGATGATATAATAATAATAATAATAACAATAAAGATAATAATTTGAAATGGCTACCAGTATGGTGGTGACGATGTATGTGAGGTTTCGCGCGACTGCTTTCGAACCCGGGATCGCCGGCTTTTGAGGCTTTTCGTGTAATGTGAGACCACCATCTTGAGACCATATGCCAAGCTGTGATTATATTATAATGAAAATGAAAGCTTAGATGAATGAATAGATGAATGGATGAATGAGTGAAGAAATGAAGAAATGAATGAATGAATGAATAAGAAAATGGTTGGATGAAAATTTGTTGAATGACACTGGCAATCAATATTTGACTTCAGAACGGCAATGAAAAGAAATTTTCACACAGAAGACGTAAAAGGACAAGCAGGCAAACAGACACACAAACATAACCTCTTTTTTACCGCGATCGATGTTAACTTCCACTACGGAAAGCCTATGGTCTGACCTTTGACCTCTGACCGGGTCAAATCTCACCATCGTCCCTGACCTTCCTTCGAAGTTGACCTACAAAATTGAGGGGTGGCGATAGAATAAACCACAACAATAACAACAACAAAGTATCAACAACAACAATAATAATAATAACAACAACATCAACGAAGATAGCCATAAAAATATTTACAACAGCGTCGAAAGCCACAAAAGCAATTCTGAAGTTTTTGACGTCATTAACATGGTGACGTCACAACAATAATAATAAAATTATCAACAACAACACCACCAACAACAATAATAATAATAACAACAACAACAACGACGACGACAATGGAGGAATTTCGATTTCGTTATGTGTTGGAGAGAAAAGAACATTTGCAAATTTGTTTGAGCCATTAAATAAATTGACCGCAAGTAATGTGATTTATGTCCAGCATTCAATAGAGCCGAAACGAAATAATAATAATAATATAATTATATAAATAATTATAATAATAATAATAATAATAAGGGCGCGTTTCTAATTGTGACGTATTGTGACGTCACACGATGACGTAAGCCTGACGTTGTTATGATGTTTTATGACTTGCTGTCATTAACTTGACTTTTTTCTGGGTTGAAAGGGTACAAAAGAAAGAGGAGAAAGAGAGAGAGATAGATAGAGAGAGAGAGAAAGAGAGAGAGAGACATGGAAAGTGGAAGATGGTTGTAACTATAATCATCATCAGCAGCGGCAGTAGCGGCAGTAGCAGCAGCGTCTTCAACCTCATCCTCATCAGAGTATGTAGATGTTTATACATTCTTCGTATCATAGCAGTCCCTGCGTTATTAGTATGGATGGTGTGCACGTTTCAACGAGGTTCTTTGAAAATTTTCTTGAAAAACCTTTCTCTCGTGCTTCAAGAAAGAGAGAGAGAGAGAGAGAGAGAGAGAGAGAGAGAGAGATGAAGAAAGGTGTAGTGAGAAAAAGATAAAAAGAGAGCATTGTAAGAGTTTCCTTACATTTTATATCCCGCTTCTATCACTATTTTAAAATTTTGTTTTCAAAAAATTTTAACTTTCATTTAGTCTTTCAATCCATTTGTTTGTATGTTTGTTTGTTGAATTAATCAATTATTTATTAATTTATTCTTATTTCCATTTATTCTTTTATGCATTCATTCATTTGTTCGCTCTTTTATTCATTTATTATTCCATCCATCAACCGATCAGTCTAACCATCCATCCAGCCATACAGGATGCAAAATTTTGTTGGAGTTTTACCCTGCACATGAAATAAGTGAGATATAAAGATATAAAGTGAGAGTAAACCAAGAAGAGAGATATGGAAAAAAAGAAGAGCTAGTGATCAATCAATCCACCTGTCTGCCTTTTATTCATTCATTCATTTCTTCATTTCATCATTCATCTATTAAGTACTAGCCATTCGTTCATCTGTTCGCTCGTTCATTCAATCGCTCGTATTCGATCAATCAATTATTCATTCATTCATTCGTTACTTCATTAATTTAGTCATTCATTCATTTATTTATTAATTCATTCATTCATTTGTTCGTTCGTTCGTTTATTCATTCACTTTTGCCTACCCTTTCAACCATATATTTGTTGGGCTAATTTTTTCTCAAATTAACTCGATAATTCATTTAACCATTCATTCACTCTTTCATTCATTTTTTCATCCAGCCACTGTTATATTCATATACTCGTTAGTACAACTATTCCCTCATTCACACATACATACACTCAATCATTCATCATTCGTTCATTGAAAGACTGACAGACAGACCGGTAGAAAAAACAAACAAAGGAGGATAGAAAGAGAGTGAACGAGAGAGATAGAGAAGGTAAGAGAGAGAAATAGAGAAAGAGAGAGAGAGAGAGAGAAAGATAAAATTCATTTTTATTTTCCAAAGTCTTTTTATGTGACATGCATGTTTCTCTGTTTATGATGGTTCCCTACCCAGCTCCAAGTTCCTTCTTTATATTTAAGTTTTTTTTATTTCATTTTGTTGTAGTTTAAGTTCACTTTTAGGAAAAAAATAAACAACATGAACATTGTATGAATGGGTGAATGAACGAATGAATAAATGAATGCATGAATGAATGAACGAACGAACGAGCGAACGAAAGAATGAATAGACGAACGAACGAGCGAATGAATGGCAATTCAAAAACATGGCCAATGCAACATACAAACTGAACACATACGCATTTGTGTACAAATACAAATGTAAAATATATACAAACATATACAATCAAGCCCAAACACAAACATACAAACACATACATACATACGTACAAACTCATACACACCTACATACATACAAAAATATACAGAAGCATACAAAAGCATACAAAAATAATCTGAGAAAGCCAGATGAAATTTCAAATCATCATCTAGACTTCGCATGTCAGGATAACATAAGTTCTCGTCGTTCAGCCAACAAAACATTGTTGTTGACACACCTCACACACCTCAAACGCACACACACACACACACTCACTCACACACACACTCACACACACACATATTTACAATCACATTCATATATTCACATATATACACACACATAATTATTTTAATAATTATAAGAACTTAATGGCTATATAAGAACTTAATGGGTAATATTAATAATAACATTGAAAATAATAACAACAATAATAATAATTACAATAATAATAATAATTTGGTATTTAATAATAATAATATTTAATATATAATAATAATATGCCGGCTGCTGGCGTAATAAGAGTACGTAAATTTTCTCTCCCTCTCTCCATTCATTTTTAATGTGGAACTCCAACAATAACTCTATATTTCGCCATAATGTCGTTGTAATTGTTGGCAGGTTTTGATAATGATCTTTTGCGATAGTAGTAGTAGTAGTAGTAGCAGCAAAAGTAGTAGTAGCAGCAGCAGCAAAAGAAGAAGAAATAGTAGTAGTAGTGATAGTAGTAGTAGTAGTAGTAGTAGTAGTAGGAGTAGTAGTAGTAGTAAAAGGAGCAGCAGCAGCAGTAGTAGTAGTAGTAGTAGGAGCAACAGCAGCAGCAGCAGCATTAGTAGTAACAGCAGCAGCAGTAGTAGTAGTAGTAGTAGAAGTAGTAGTAGTAGTGGTAGCAGTAGTAGTAGTAGGAGGTAGTAGTAGAGTAGTAGTAGTAGTAGTTATTGTTGTTGTTGTAAAAGTAGTAATTGTAATCATAGAATTAGTATTAGTAATATTCATTATTTTTTATAAAAATTAAGGATAAAAAAACTAACCGATCTGATATGGCTGTTGATATAGGCACTGTATGTAGACTGTTCATCATCGTCGTCATCATCATCGTTGTCGTATCCACCACTACCACCACCACCACCATCATCATAATCATCATCATCGTCGTCTAGTTCTTCATTATCGTAGTTATATTCATCATCATCGTCATCATCATCGTCGTCGTAATTTGTAGTATCATCATCATCATCGTCCTCGTAATCATTCCAATCTTCATCATCGTAATTACTATTACTACCAATGACGTCATCGTCATCGTCGTAGTCATTGTTGTTTAAGGTCCATATATTATTATCGGCTTCCATGTTTGCATAGTCATTTGAGCTTTTTGATGGTGACGACGATGATGATGATGATGATGATGATGACGATGATGGTGATGGTGATGATGATGATGATAACGACGACGATGATGATGATGATGACGATGATGATAATAAATTCAGCTCTGTTAACGGCAAAACTAATGAAGCTGATAATTGTGAGGTCAATGATGATGATGATGATGATGACGACGACGATGATGATGTAGATAATGATGGTAGTGATCTCTTTAGCTTAGTCCTTACTTGAAATAATGAAAAATTTTTTGACCGTAAAATTAAAAAATGTGATGGCTTTCTTGGCGACGAAGACCACGTTGCCGCTGCTGCTGCTACTACTGCTGCTGCTGATGATGATGAGGGTGAGAATGATGATGAGGAGGAAGAGGAGGAGGATGCTGGTATGAGTGCTGATTCAGGTAATGATGATGATGTTTCTGTTCTAGTCAAAGTAATTAATGACACGTTCGACGTTGTTGTCGTTGCTAGTGATGTTGCAGTTGATGATGTCACTGATGACGTCAAGCTAGAAGTTGTTGTTGTTGTTGTTTTAGATGTTGGTGATGACGACGATGATGAGGATGATGATGAGGATGATGATACGGACGTCGGTGATGATAACGATTGCAATAATGGGGCGGGAAAGTTTAATTTGAAATTCGACTTTAATATATTGGCGGCCTCAGTGTTAGTGTTTTGAAAGCTTTTTCCTGCAAGCTCCTTGAGACTTTTATCGCCAGCATCGCGAAGATATGCAGCAATTAAATGGCGGTCTTGCGACGATTGTGTGGCTGCTGTTGCCGATGTTGTTGCTGCTGTTGACGATTTTGTGGTTGCGGTTGACGTTAGTGACGCTGTTGTGGTAGCTACTGTTGCTGCTACTGCTGATGTTGAAGTGGCTTTTGTGGTTGAGGATGACAAAGATGATGACGACGACGATAATAGCGATGGTTCTGTTGATGTTGTTGCTGAGGGAGACGAAGATGATGACGACGACAATGATGATGAAAACGAAGATGACAATGACGTCTTTGGTGATGTCATTTCTGAATCTACCATCAACAACTCCATCGCTGTTTTAACGCTTTTAATATAATTACTGTTATAATTATTTTCCTTGACATAATTAGTATGATTGTTAACATTATTATTATTATTATTATTATTATTGTTGTTGTCGTTGTTGTCGTTGTTGTTGTTGTTGTCGTTGTTGTTGTTTCTGGCTAACAATGATGTAGAGTTTTTGTGTGATGTAGCGAGCGCAATAAGCCTCACAAGGGATTTTTCAGTTGTTTTATAGTATTTATTATTATTATTAAAATTGTTATTATTATTATTATTGTTGTTGTTGTTGTTGTTGTTGTTTTTGTTGTCATCGTATATGAGTTGAGGCTTCGTATAAATTTGAGTATGTTTGTGAAGAGCGTGTTGCTGATGTTGTTGCTGATGTTGCTGCTGATGTTGTTGATGTTGTTTTAGATGTTGTTGTTGATGTTGTTGTTGTTGTTGTTGTTGATTGTGATGATGTTGTTGTTGTTGTTCCGGATTGCTGTGACGACGAACTTTGGGTACATTATAGTGAAATTTTTGTTGATGCTGTTGTTGTTGATGCTGTTGTTGATGTTGTTGTTGTTCTTGTTGTTGTTGATGCTGAAAACCGGAAATGAATAGCAAAGATATCAAAGTGACAGAATCTTGTATCAACGCGCTTGTAACCTGAGAACATAATTTTTTTCTACAAATGTTGCGATACATATGAATTAAATTTGTAATGTATGTATGTATCATCGATATGTGTATGCGTGTATATGTATATGTATGTTGTGTGTGTGTGTGTGTGTGTGTGTGTGTATGTATGTATGTGTGTGTGTGTTTGTATGTGTGTATGTGTGTGTATGGCCAAATGTTATGGG